TTATCTCGAACAGATTTATTTTGAATATCAAGCTATGCAGCAATAATGCTAGTTTGTGGAAATTCAAAGATCTGCCACAAACATAAATTAGCATTCAAAGAAAATACTGTGTAATAAAATAGCAGCTTTAATCATGTATAAAACTGAGTCTCTCTAACGCAGACAAAGGAAACCCGTCATAAAATGCTGTGACTTTTAGGGAGTCAAGCAGTATGTTGAGAAGGTTATGTATAAAATCTTGTTTAAAATCTCTGATCTAAAAATTGGCTTTTAAAACACCGGCTATTCACTAAATGATGCCGTACAAGCAGCCCCACAATATCCTACCAGAATCTTCCGCTTGAATTATTTTGTTTGGATGAGAGAGTAGAATATCATTATCTTTATTCCAACGCCATCTCCTTAGGAAGGTACAGGTGAATAGACTTTATGCTGAGTCTCATAAATTTTCTGACAATTTTGCAAGGTTGTGTGTAAATTCTGAGCTGCATAAAGAAGAAGACAGGAAAACAATATGTGCTGTGGCTGGCTTCTTTGTTTGAGGGTATATTTTAAAAACTAAGTATAAATATTAAACAAATGTTCAATGTTAGAAGACAGGCTGGATATTTTTATACACATTGATTAAAGACTTTATAAAAAATTTAGAGGAATTAAGTACATTAGAAATTTATGCAAAAAGATGTATTCAGTTTACTGATTGGTTTCTGGACAGGACTCCACTGATTCTTTAGAATTTTATTATCCTCGAGAGAGTTACACCAATCCTAGCCTAATTTAGTGCTATTCACAGCTGGAGTTCATGGTACTGTTATGGAGGTCAACTGACTAGATATTTTCCTTTAGGATCTATAAAATTGAGGAAAACTTTCTTATGTCATGATTATTATTGGCTGTCTACAGAGCCAAAATCACTTGATGAGGGATTTTGCAAATTTTGTGACTGGGGCTGTGGAATATGATCACAGTTATTGCTCTTTAGTTCATGAGAAGAGAGAATGAATATGTTACTGAATCCAACTCATCTCTCTAAATCAGCTATTCCTTTGAGAGGAAAAAAGTGTATTCTACCCCAATTCAGATTAGAAACTTTTGTTTCAGCTTTTTTCTATGTAAGATGTTTTTGCAGTCTTTGAAAATAGTAAAGATTTATATCAACAAATTGTGAAAAATATAGTAGCACACAAGTTACTTGTCCTTTGCACATATATACGTGCATATATACGCGAACTTCCACATGCCTGTTACCTGCAAATCTGGAATATGGTGCTGTGTCCCTAGCAAGGCTGCATTACTATGAATTTGTGTTTGCTCTTACTCAATCAAAACTTCTACATTTGCCATAGTTGCGGGAACACTGCTGCACAAGCACCACCTAGTTAAACCAGTTACGTTCACAGAATTTTTAAATTTTCTGTATAGATTTCTGTATAGATTTCATTTGTTTGGTCGTGGTACAGATACTCTTAGGCCAGAAGAAGAGGTAAGGAAGCAAAGTGATAAAATAAATGAATGAATAATAGAATAAGCTATCAACATAAAACATAAATTATATTAAATACTTTAAGATTCCTAAAAGTTTCATTAATTTGTTCTGTCACATTCAGTAACAGCGGCTTCCATAAAACAACACGCTGTATTGCATATAGGCCACCCACACACAGGCATGTACAAATAATATATTAAAGTGTGATTTTAGATCTATAATTGCTTTGAACTATATCCGTATCTAACATGTAGTCCAGGGAATGCGGATATTATCTGTTGTTGGAAATGTACAGAGTAGAATCCTGGCTTAAAGTAAATCAAAGTTGATTTAAGTTCTCTTACCCACTTCAAAGTTGAGTTCTTAAGTTGATAGTTGAAAAAGATAGCATGATCTGCTATCTGAGCACAGTTCTCAGTATTTTGGATGGATGAAACTGAACCACAGGTTATATGCTTGCTTAGTCAATAGCTTTTCAATATTATTTTTCTCCTCTCCTTTAAGACTTTGTGTTATGTTTGCAATGGATAGTAGTGTTATCTCCTAGCAGTATTAAAGCAGGCAGCATGAGTTACTGCCTCATATCCCTTAATGCAATAAAACCACAGTAAATGAACAAGCAACTGGTATCTTCCAGGCTCACAGCTGTTGTTCTGAAGACTTGGACAGAAAACTATGTTTTGAGTTACCAGAGATCTGAACTCAATTATTTCATAAAGAATATTTAGTAAAACACTGCTGCCCAGGTTAGGAGACCAACTAAAGCATTAACTAACTCAGTTACCTTTCCTAAAGATTTTCTCAGAAGCGTATATCTGTTTGTCTAAGATAACTTTTCAGAATGAAATAGCATTATGAGTGGCCAAGAAGTATTTTAAAACTATATTCTGAGAAACACCTATATTATAATAATCAATGCACAATGTATCATTCTCCAAAGAAGCGTTTCGAATTTCCTGTTCCTTACCCTGCATTCTCATCTCTCGCTAATATTCCCGTGAAAACAACACTATCCTTGTCATGGCCCAAAGCCCGTTCAGTGATTCGGTGGTGTGAATCTACAGCTTCTGAAGTGCATGTCAGGTTACAGTCAATATCCTTGTTGTCCATATTTTATTGTCTCTCAAAGACCTGGCCTTGAATCTTGATCTGCTAAGTCTCTTATTCAGGCCTTTGCTTTAGCAACCTGACTAGTTTTTCCCTTTTCTTGGCCAGAGCTGCCCTCTTGTACTCATGTTGCACTCATGGTGATTCAGTATCGCAACCAGCACTGTGCTCCAGCATGCTGCTCTCACTGCCCTGCCCAGGTTTTCGCTATTCCTCAGTATCCAGCAGTTAAATGTGATTTTCCTCACTGGCATTTAAGACCATTTATAGTTCAGCTTTGACTGGCCTTTAGATTCTGCTGTTTGTCGAATGTTTTTATGTATCTTATTCAACCCAGCAACCAATGCCAGTTGAATCATTTTAAGTGTTGAGGACCTTGAGCACCACCACCTTTCAGTTCCACCTCAAAATTCATCCTTGTTGTTTCATCTGTGAGAGAGCAAGCAGTCTTTTCAGTTGTTTATCTGACATTATTTCTAGTTTGCATGTGTTTGTATGCATGTTCAGGTACCCATGCACCCATCCTTTCTCTGTTTCTTAGTCCTTTAGTACTGAGTCCAGGTGAGTTTTCTATGCAAATGTGCATACAAGCATGTATTTAGAGAAAGGATGAAGCAGCTGGTATTTCTCCATGGCTTTAGTTCAAGCTGTAAAGAAGAAAGATGATTATGATGATGAAGTTCTATGATGATGATGATTAAAGCACCGCCAGAGCTCTGTCTTTCTCCTTAATGGAAGACAGCACATTCCTAACTCAGAAAGTTGCTTTGAGGATAAGTTATTAGTAAGTGGTTCAGATACTTCTGAAATAGAGAATACAGAAACAAGTAACAAAGAATTATTTTAAACAGTAGCATGATCCTTCTCCTAAGAGAAATTAGTCTTGCTGCACATGGAACCCCAAACAGAAACGTTCTGAGTAATCAGGTAAAGTCAGGAAGTATTAGGTAATATTTATCACTGATATTAACTTATGCTAATTTTCTGAAAGGAATGCTGAGCAAATTTTTGAGGGAGTGATAATTTCCTATGGCTTTACGTACTTTTTTGCTCTCTTTGTTTTGTTTTTTTCTTGAGCATTTTAGTTTCAGGGACAAGGATATTTTGTGTGTAATGACATAGGCATGATACCACCTATTTTTAAATACTCCACGTGCAGCTCCTGTGAGGAAAGGAGTTACATTAGTAAGGGAAGCACTTGAAATTCCAGTTGGGGGATGGAAAGGGAAAATGACAGAAATAGAGGGGAAAAGAAGTACATGTGCCCATGTCTATTAGCAGGGGAAAGACAAAATCCACACGCTGGAAAGTAAGAAAGAGCTGGAAAACTGAAGAGCTGTCAGCTGTTCTACAAGTAAATGCCTCATGGGGTTTTACCCTGGCTGAAGCTTATTTATACTTTTTGATGCTTTCACTAGGCTGAAAAATCCCATATTCCTGATCCTTTGGTACACTAGACTGCGAAGCAAAAAGGTGCACACTGAATGGCTGTGCGCTTTGAAACAGTCTGTTTTCCTCTCTCTGGTAACCTACGGCCTCAACCCACTCAGCTGCCTAAGAGTGGTCTTACATCTGTATAGAACAGTGATTATTATCAGGGTTTATAAATAGAAATAAAACTATTGCTGACTCCAGGCTTGGATTTTTTGCATGGCCTTATACAAAGAATCACATTTTCCATGTCAAGCTTCTGACAAAAAAGATTTGCAATGTAGAATGCAGTTCTCAGACTAGATGCTATAAGGTAGATTAATAAACAAGTGTGGATCAAAAGTGGGTAGAAGAGAGAAGAATAATTGGAGCATAGGGTGGTAGCTGAGCCTTGGAGAAGACTGTTTAATTTCCTTTTGGTGAGTTGTTTATCTCCCTCACTATTTCATTTTAGGTATTCCATGTTTAAGGTGTGAAAAACAACAGTAAAGGAAGTGATGATGATTTAGTTGATCAGATTGTCTCTGGTAAAAATATACTTCCACTTTGTAATGCCACAATCTGTTTGGAAATCTAGATGCACATGCACTTATTTACATATATGAAATTATATAGCATATACACTTATTTACATATTTGACATTATATATGTATGTACAAATCAATATTTTTATATAGTACACAAATGCACACACACATATATATATACACACCCTATATATATACACACACATATGTATATATGTGTATGTGCGCACACTTGTATATACTGGGTATTGCAAATGTGCATGATATGCATATTGAAATTAATATGATGTTCATATACATATATGTACTTCTATAAACACCCGATGCATGTATCTATTGTTTTGGCTACTCTATTAGTGTACACACACTTTTGAAAATTATTGCCAATGATACTTTTCAAGTCTTCAGCCCTTATACGTTTAAGCAACCTCTTTTGTGCTTCATTTAGCAGCAGCAACAGAAGAACCTGAGGTGATTCCAGATCCCGCTAAACAAACAGATAGAGTGGTGAAAATAGCAGGAATAAGTGCTGGAATTCTGGTATTCATCCTGCTTCTCCTCGTTGTCGTACTGGTCGTCAAAAAAAGGTAAGAAAATTGTCTGTGTTGATACCTTTTTTTTCACCCCTTCTATGTCAAACAATTACAAATAATGGATTGTTTCTTACAGATCATTTGAAAAAAAAAAGTTTCCTGAGCCATAACTGACATTTATCTTTTTGATGGGTTCTGTGTATTTTCTCTTGTTTCTCCTCTGATTCTTGGTATAAATATACAGATTAGATATTATATTTATATTTATATTTGGGATCTAGTACCTATCAATTTTCTCAAATTCACTCATTTCTAAGTACTTTTAAATTGGAGTTGGATGAATGGACAGAATGTTAACATGGATAGAATTAAATGGATCTTTTTTTTGCGGGGGGAAAAAACTTTACTTCTCATGTTGTAGTCACCTAATGAATTTGATTTTTTTATATGCAGGTCTAATGAGTTATTTGTTATTTGTATCCGTATGTTGTCCAACCCGCAAAATAATGCAATTTTATACTTTTCTGCTCTTGTAAACCTACACTCTTTTTTTTTTCCTTATAAGTCATACTACATCACTATAAAATTATCTAGTGAGTCCTTAATGCATGAAATTGTTTAAAGGTGTATTAATCTGAATGAATTTTAATTTTTAGTTTATTCCTAGAAAATAATCAATAGCGCCATCTTCTGGAATTATAAAAAGTTAACTCGGCACTAAGCGCTGCGATATGTAAATGGTGCTACACTATTGCTTGTTCAATTTTTAAAAGAATGTTGACTTTGCAGTACTTGTGACCCTCTTAATGTGCCATAAAATTTCATAAGCCAGTTGTGTAAATCTGTATTCATAGCACTGTAGCTCCTAATACAAAGAGATTTCTGTGCCCCCTCTCTTCTGCGCAGTCCCTTTCCCAGTGGCCAAAGTGATTCATCTTCAAGAGAGCAAGGCCTTTGTCTGCCAGTGGTTTGTGCATTACATCCCCTTTCCTTTTGCAGAATTCTTTATAAACTCTTTATTTGTAAATGTTACAATGTTGCTTAGAAATGTAGCTTTCTTAAAGAGTAAGAAAACGTTAAAATTGTGCCTCATATTTTATGTTGTGATTACTGGTTTCCATTAGATTTTTTTAATTTATTGCCTCTTTACAATTATCCCTGGAGATATATAACTTGGAGAAGAAACGTCTGCATTAGAAACATTAGGTATGCCTATAGTGTTCTGTGTTAGTTTAGCTACATATGTGATTTTCCCCAAAAGTGCTTTCACTTTTCTCTGTTGTTTACCTCTGTGGTTGAGAATTAACACATATGCAAAAGATCCAGCTCATCATATGCAAAAAGACATACAATCAGGCAATTTATTTGCACAACTTCTGAAGAACAAAAACAACAAGAAGTTGTTTTTCAGCTTTCAGGAAGAAATATCTATTTTATATGATTATTGCAAGATATGGGCTGGGGTGTGTCATCTTCTCACTGTGTGTTGCAGAGGTCCCCTCATGTTTGATAAAAGACTGTATGTGTGTGTGTGAGTGTGTGTGACTACTACTATACCGAGTCAGTCTCCTCCAGATGGGATTGACCAGCTTTGCAGGTTCAAAGAAAAACATTAAACATTGGTTGCATTCTTGTTTAATTTCCTTTTTCCTTCTTACATCCAGAGTCCTCTTAGACTTGTCCTTTCACTATTGAATTGTTTGGTGAAAGTAATTATGTCAGTGAAATGATACTTTAAGCATTTCCATTTTTCCTCCCTTCCCTTCTCTGAACCAGGCAGTACCCTGTTAGAAATCCTACTTGGTCATCTTTCCAAAGTACATAACATATGTAAAATCCTGTACTATTTTGCATTCGAAGTACATGGAAAATTAACCTCTTTAATGAATCTTTAATGTATGGTAATTTTTCATAGTGATAGTTTAATTGGTTGTCTATGGAGTATATTATAGGTGTGTGATTTCTGCCCCCCGCCCTTAGGGAAAGTGGGCTATTTTTCATATGAGCTCTAGTCAAGGTCACTTATGAGAAGCGTAGAAAACCTTTGTGTCTGGATCTAATTCAGGCTATCATCTAGAGAATCGGAGCAATTTATACAATAAGGCCAGGAACAGTTATAAAACACTGACACATTCACACATACAGCAACACACCTCAGTTAGTTGTGGTGGGACTGGAAACTGGTCAGTTGTAATCATCTCCTGTAGCCTACATATCCACTGGTCCATAATGTAGTATCCCTTTTGGTACCTGAATTGACCACAACTCATTACCTGGAAAAGTCAATGAAGATGGTTTATGCATTTTTCATTGGTTTATTAAGTCTCATGCACCGATCCAGATACCTAAATCTGATTAAATGCGGCATTACATTTTATTGAAAAATGGAGTAGTAAGCAGTTTTATTCATGAGCTTGAGATGTTTTATGCTTTGACTGATCATTTTGTACAAATTGGTTTGAAGTTCTACTGAATGAGACTCTTACCAGCTCTTACAGAGTTTTACTTGAGTAATCAAACCAGCTAAGAAAAGGGATACTGCATCTTTAATGAGCAATGCCATTTTTATTTTTTAATCGTTGTTGGACTATCTCCCAGTGTACTTCATTTCCGTCCATTTGTTTACCTTCCATATTTTTCATGCTTAGCATGAATACATCAGCATTTCCAATTGTACGTTTTTAAAATATAAAACATATGTTTTCATTCAGGAAATGTATGGTATATATGCCAGTACACACATGTATCAGTTGTAAATGTGCACTCTTTATAATGTGTGTACTCATATAGCTACATACAATACATATACAAACATATATGTATGCACCTGTGTACTGATAAAGACTTTAAAATGAATGATATGAAATTCAGCTGTTCTCTGATTAAATGTATTTATTACGATTTCTTTTTTCTGTAACTGAAAAGTAAAAAGTATAATTTACCACACAAGATTTGTACACAGCTGTTCATTTGTCATTACATTTAGGTGGTAGTCATTATATTATGCTGAACTGCATGTTGAAAATACACAATCCATTTAATTTTCAAATTTTTGGCAATAAATGAAATCTCAGCATGTAATTTTCTCAAGTGATCTTTCTAAAAACTAAATCATTTTTATATGCTAGAGTATTTTTTTTAATTGCATGGCAAAGTAAGGCTAGTTGATGCATGACCAAATTGAAATGCTAACCAAAGAAACATGATTTTTTTCAATTTTTTTTTAAACGCACATTTCTCTGCTTTATTGAATGTGACAGAGTCACGCTTTTCATTCACCATTGCTTCTCTTTTTCCACTGTCTGTGATTTGCTTGCCAGGAGGAGCTACTATTCTTACTCCTACTATCTGTAAGTAGAATACGGGTGACTTACTATTTTACATGTTTTAAAGATGCAGTATCCCTTTTAAAAAAAGAAAAATAGTCTTTATAATTTTAGTAAAGTCATATTAATAGTTACCTCACATTAGTGTCAGGTTTGAAAAAATTGCTTGTGTCATTGTTCCTGTTATTCCTAACTTTTTTTTTTAAAGGGATATTGTATTTTTTACTGTGTATTGAGACTTGCTTTCTGCTAGTTTTTCCCATAGCTATCATTTTAGTTGATTGTAATCATGATTTAATTTCCATTATGGTTCACAGCGAGATGTCACACTAAAAAAAAAAAATCTATTCTAATAGATAACTGCTTCTAAATCACACATTATTCTTAACAGGCTGACTAGAAGTGATCCTGCACAGCACTTCCAGTACGCAAATCATAGGCAGGTGTCAGACCTTTATAAACAGGTCTCTGTCCTACCAATGCAAGAGTAGCAGATCTGCTGCTCCAGGTAGCAACATTTTGGGATTTTCATTTTTTACGGGAAGGTCTTTTGTACAGAGATCTTCATCTGATGGTTGCGAGGAGCTTTGCACACCGATTTTAAAGGATGGATCTTAACTGTGTAGCACTGGTTGGAAGAAGTTTTGATTCAGCGTAGCAAAGCTGAATTACTGGCATGTGTCAAGTAAATGGTTTCGGTGAGGGCTGCAATTTCGGCTCTGACTGAGCAAAGCAGTTGCACACATGCTTAGTTTTAAACAAATGCATAAAGCCCTTGATTTTGGAGAAGGATCTAAGAATGCACTCAAGCACTTTGATGAACTGGTGGTGTCTGATAATGATGCTCTTCCAGGTTCTTAAGAAGATTAGTTGACTTCTTTGAATAAACTTAAAACTAAAAAAAGCTAAGCTGCTAAGCCTAGCTAACTGCCAGTCTCTGGTTTATTGTAACAAATTACAATGTCCTTGTTAAATAACAATTGCTTCAGTTAGAGATAATTAACTGCACAGTTTCCTACCATGATGGAGCACTTGTCCCCTCTAGCTCCCACTGAACCACCTGCCTGCACAGGTTTGGGCAGTTGGATCCTCCAGTACATAATGGGAATCATTTACACTTCTGTCAGCATCACCCCCCACCCCGGACACACACATGGTAATCGCATGTGCCCTTATCTGAATAAGGGAAGAAAAAAAGGAAAAAAGAAGAAGAAAGAAAAAGAGGAAAAGAAAAAAAGCCAAACCTACAGGGACACAGGAGCTGCTAAACAATAAAAACCATTCTTACAGTTCCCAGCGTTGGGTTGCTGTGCTGGAGCACAATAGGCCTTTTGGGAGGGTGAAGCAGAGCCTAAGAATTAGAAACTAGCTACTCAAATAAGCTAATAACTTGAAAGCATTAATGGCTGTTGATTTATTTAGCATAGCTAGCAAGTTTTTGTTACAAAGTGGTGCTTCAAAGAAGGGCTTAATACAGTTGAGAGATGAGATGTAATAGTCCTTTTGTTCCATTCCTGAGGTAGCTTTAGAAAAATAGGATCTTTCCAAGCAAGCGAAGCTTTCAGTGTATGGAGAATATCTGAACGGCTTTGAAACTTAAAAAACAGTCTGCACTAGAAATGCCAGTTTTGCAAAAGCTTTGATAGTATTAGAACCCAGCTATAAAGCTCAAGCAGTTTCCGTTTAGGAAGTTCTATTTGTATTCATTTAAAACCTTTGTTCAACGAGAGTACCATTTAAACCAACTTTTCTTAAGTATTCCAAAGATGAACATCTGGAGTAAATGTTATAAAATACAATATTTTAGGGGGGTATCCACCTGCCACTCATTTTTCACCAAGCAACTAATATATACAGAATTCTCATGTGCAACAAAAGATTTTGGTGAAAAGTAATAGATTTAGAAATCAACTTTGATATTTCTGTAACATTTAGTAGTAATTAACCAAGTAGTCAATCTGTAAAAAGCTAAAAAAAAAAAATTCATGAAAGATGAATGAAAGAATATTCATTATTCTCAGACATGTCTTGCTTTGTCCATCTATAGCCTGCTTTGTGGCCCTTGTGTTGAACCAAGGTGCTTAAATGAAGAAACAGCCCTCTAACTCAGAGGAAGAAAATGTGCAAATGTTGCCTGCTCAAAAGGACAGGTCATTTCCCTGTTTTCCGTGGAAGTCTCAGGGTGTAAAAGATATATGAATTGACTATTTATCCTAGTGCTTTTCTTGTCAATTATTAGAATGCAGCACAGACTATTAGAAGTTATCAGAGAATACAAGAAAGAACTAGCAGTCCTTTTATCCAGAGAAATGTAAGACGAACACTTAACAGGTTATTTGATAATATTTTATTCAGGAAAAAAAAAAGCCTCATGAAACTAGGCTGCACTTTAAAGATATATTTTTACGAATGCATTATTTTCAATGAAGATTCTTTTATATGATGTCCAGTTTGTCCAAATAAGATATTACATTGCAATCAGGCCTCCAGAAGAAAATAGGAAGAAGAGATTAAGAGTACAAAATAATGTAATGTATGCTACGAATTCTTAAAGAACTAAGGTGCACTTTAATATTTCTCTGATGAATACTTCACACTACTTGAGACACATGTTTCAAGAGCATTAGGCTTAAAGTGATAATTAAAGTCTACTGCTTGCTTCCGTGTTATGGAACAAGCTTTCCATGCTTGCTTTCACTGTCTAAGTGAAAATGTCTTTCACTTGTCTTCATCAAAAGGAAAGAACTGAGAGAGATTTCTTAAGACTGCATTTTCAGGGTCCTGGCTGGAGGTTTCGTTATACGGCTTTGCATGGTACTCGTGTAACTGTGATAAATTCAGAACAGAATCTGTAAAGTGGTTCCAAACTGCATGGTAGGCTTTAAAAAAAAATTAGTAAGAACAAATCTTAGTGTCAGGAGCAAAGAGGATGTGATATCACATGATCTCTTGCATGCCAGATAGGAGGAGCAACTTTTAATGTAAAAGGTAATATGTTCCCCTCCTGAATAATTATGTTTGTTTTATTGTTTTGTAGTATTTTTTGGCTAACAAAGTAATTTAGATGTTTAAATGGTTTCTTCCTAACAAGGAAAGCAAGTGGAGTGAATTATCCATTTATAAAATCAAAACACAGATTTAAGTGGAGATTGTTGATAAAACTGTACACACAGATGCTTCTTATTTATCATTTCCGTTAAAATGTAATTATATTCTCTAATTTGTTTATATCAGCATAATTACTCTACAGGAAGAAAAATATTACCAGAGTACAGTAGTTAGAAATTTCATTACAATGTTTGTGTGTGTATATGAAACACATGATCATGAACTCTTTTATAGCAGGATGTGTAGTTTTATAACCCTCACACTGGAAAGTGCGTGCCCATGAAAATCAGCCAGTGTTTGCAGTCCCTCTTGCTCACTCAAGACCGTGAGCAAGACTGTAGATGATGATTAGTTTAAGCTTCGACATTTCATGAAAAATTAAGGTGCTTTGGGTTTTTTTTTTTGGCTGGGCAGCAAACTTGCTAAGAAGCGCAAAGATGCTATGGGGACCACCCGACAAGAGATGACACACATGGTGAATGCGATGGACAGGAGTTATGCTGACCAGAGCACCCTGCATGCAGAAGATCCCCTTTCAATCACATTTATGGACTCTCATAACTTCAGCCCCAGATGTAAGTACAACACTGATGGATCTTCCAGAGTGTGCTTGCATGTAGGAACAGGGAAAGCAATTTATTCTTCTTTCTCAGGAAATGATTCTAAACTCTATGCATTATAGGAGCTCTGATAAATGTAGAAGTTGGATTAGAATGTTCATATATTATCTTTGTTAGAGTATAGCAAGTCATTTAAACATTTTTGTCTAATTTGGGTATGCATTGGTGCTATTTCAGGAAGCATTCTAGTAAATTCTGAAGCGTAGTTTTCCCTCACAGGGCTATTTAATATCAGCTTATTAAATACTGCTAGTTTATATAATGTCTACAATGAATAACAATATGAAGGCCAAATTAATTTTTTACTTTTGGCAATCAGGATATTTTAACAGAAGGAAAATGCCGGTTTTTGTTGCTGTTTTCTGGAGTTTAAGAACAAGCTTGTTGGTATTTCTTCAGATTTGCTCTGCATTTGTATTTCTTTGTTGTAGACTTGCCAGATGTCTGTTTTTCACAAAGGCAGTTTGGGTTTGCGAATGCTGAATGGGTTAGAGTTACCATTAAAACATGCAGCTACAGCGGCCCCTCAGCATCCGCAGCACGGCTTGTGCGAAAGCAGGACATTCGGCTGACACGCGCTGAGTATCTTGGCCATTGAGTGTGGGTTCCTGAGGGGACGTGACTGCTGCGAAGGGGTGGGAATCAGGGCCTCCACCAGCAGTGGGGACTCATGTGCTTGGCTTTAAACACATCTAAGCAGGTGCTGGATTGGGAATGGGGTCCTTTCCCTATCTCCCGTCTCCTCCCTCATGTCCTTCACATGAGCTGGTTCCTTCCATTAAGTCTAAGTTCTTTCATCATCGCTATATTGCTATAAGAGAAATCCAGTTTGGAGGATTGCTAAGCTCCAGGTTATTGAAGCTTAACAAACTGTCTGGGCAAAACAAACAAAATCTGGGCCTGTTCAGCCTGAAGAAGAGAAGGCTGAGAGGGCATCTAATCAGTGCGTATAAAAATCTCAAGCGAGGGAATGAGGAGGATGGGGGTGGCCTCTTTTCAGTGGTGGCCACCTATAGAACTAGAGGAAATGGCCACAAACTGAAACACCAAAAGTTCCACAGGAACTTAAGGAAAATTTATTGAAAGTGAGAGTGACAGAACACTAGAACAGGTTGCCAAGAGAGGTTGTGGAGTCTCCTTCTCTGGAGAACTTAAAAACCCGCTTGGATGCAGTCCTGTACCACATGCTCTAGGTGACCCTGTTTGAGCAGGGTGATTGGACTCAAAGGTCTCTAGAGGTCCCTTCCAACCTTAAGAATTCTATGGTTCTATGAACTACAGAGTGGTAATTTTTTAAGTACCAGTTATAAATTGGAGTTTAGTATCAGCCTGCATAGACCAGATGGGTTTAAGTTCTCCTAATAGTTTTTGTGCACAGTGTGGCCAGAACTATTTGAAAATTCTCCATAATTTGATGTCTCACTGGCACTGAAATATGCAGGGATAGCTTTCCAAAGCCAGTTCATTTTGGATTAAGCTGTGGTGGATCCCAGGCAAAGTATCCATCGGGAACTACTGTGGCCATTAGCCAGCCAAGGCTGCCAGGCGCTTCGGCAGCCTTCTGCATGGAGTAGTGTGAAACCAAGAGCTCATGAGCCTCAGCCGCCACAGCTATCCTGGCTGGCTGGCCAAGCAGTTTGGCACCACTGTTTTCCAGCTTCCTAGGTATGTGTTTTTTGCAGTGTTTGAGGATTCAGTTCTGCTGACTGTCATGTGTTCTGGGGCAAAGAACCCTTCAGGCTTACAGGGTTTCCTGCTCTGAGACAAACTAGGAGACAGAATACTACAGAGTTCAGTTTTGTCTTAGAGAGCCTTTTTTTTTCCTTTTTTTTTTTTTTTTTTGGTTCCAGATTAGAACAAATCTGAATTCTGGGTTCTGCTGTTCCTGTCTAAAATGGCATATTTTTATCTCCGTGGATCTAGTTATGAAATGGACGATAAAATTCTATGAATTTTACTCAGAGATCTACATCTGCATGTCTGTGTTTTTCCTATATTCATCAGGAGAAATATCTTTGGTATTTCACATAGAAAAAATATTAAACTGTAAATACGAATATAATTTTCTGAACTACGTAGAATACCTTAAAGGAATGCTACTGTCTTTAAAGCTGAATTGTTCAAATATTATATGAGAGGATGGGTTGAAAAGGGGCTGGTTCTATGAATGCAAAGCTTTATTGTGAAGCAAAAAAAAAAAAACAGTAAAGGAGGAGTGCTTTTGGAAACTCAAGTGTATGTGATGTCTTTTTTATGCCATTTCAGTAAGAATCCCTTAGCCTTTTGTCATTACATCTCTGAAGTACAGAGATGTACACTGCCTTTCATTCTTCTCTTATTCAGGATGCATTCTGGAAGTCTATATTCATTCTGTTTTTCTGTTGTAACAAAATTAATGGGATTTCATTATCATTTGGAGTTTTATTCTAAGTATATGCTTAGTATATGCTTTTATGGTTAAAAATACGCACGTGGAGGGTAATGTATTTCTTCATGAGCTTTGTTTTCCTACAGTGCCCAATGATCCACTTGTGCCGACAGCTGTGTTAGGTGAGGACCCTAGTCCTTCATTACCCATTCCTGCATGAGTTTCATCTCCCTGCATGGTTGAATGTTGAAACAGCTTGTTTTGTGTAAAAGATAGCTATGCTGTTGTCGGACAATATTCAACTCAATGCTCAGTTTATCAATTTCAAAATAAACTTAGAATGTTTTATTCTAAAAACAGAATATGTTCTTATTAAGAAATTATTCCTAGTCTGTAATAACTGAAGAATAAATGAGGAAATGGGTAAATTTAACACACTAAAATATTTCATCCATCCCTAGTTCCTAGAGGAACTGATGTGAAAGTAAAACTCTCCTGAAAGATAGATATAAATAAAATGCAAGTACATATTATTATTTGGCACATTCGTTCAAAAGTAACAAGAATGAAAAGAAAAAAGAAGAAAAGGGGGAAAATGCTGTTGTATCCAAGAACAAATGAAACAAAAACTTTATTTGTAAATTCTTTAGAAATATTCCTGTACTGGTATGTTAATTTTGCTGTTTAATTGACTATAATTAGGAAACTTTCTCAACCTTGTAATTACTTAAAAAGAAGAACAGATGTTGGGAGTGGCCAGTCTCTTTATTACTGTGTCACATATAACACTGAATGCATTTGTTTAAAGATTTTTTTTAAAAAAAATGTAAAGGTGAAAATGTAATTTGTACCAATATTCTTGGTGTCATAAATATGATGAATAGTATACAATCACATGTTAAATTTCAGACAGTTGCTGAGGTTACTTTAGGGTAAAAAATAAATGTCAAGAAGTGAATGTGAATATAAACTGAGTTTGGAAATTAGAGTCCTAGATATAAATCTTAAGGGCTTGGGGCAACTTAATCCATCCTCTGATCCTGTCCTCTGGGAGAGTACACCTGTAATCTAGACTGCTTCTGACAATTGTTTAAGTGGTTTCAAAAATTTTAAGTGAGGGAACTGTGTTCTTGCAGCGGTATGTTCCAGTGCCATACTCCTCCTAAAAGCTTCTCCTAACTAGACTAATATAGACTAAATCCTCATTGATCTAAAATGAACCATTTCCATTTAACAGACTTAGAGAAAATATAGAGAACAAAACATTGCTGTTCTTTTAAGTCTTTCGTACTTGAAAGGCTTTCATGTTCTCTTCTTGCCTGTTTCTCTTTCAGTTGAGTTAAACACAGGTTTTTTAGCCATTATCATAGAGGTGATGCTTTTTATCATTCTTTTCCTCTAAACACTTCCTAAGTTATCGCTCTGAGTCTTAAATGGTGATGCCCGAGTCATGGGCATTTCTCCAGGAGCAGTCTCAGTGCTGAGCAGAGTGGAATAGTTATGCTCGTATCCTACCTATAAAGCCCCCGTTACTTGAAATGTCCTTTTTTACTGCAGTTGTGTTGCTGACTCGTGCTGAGATTGTGGTCTGCTAAAATTCCAGTTATCATTAAGTAGTCTGTTAGTCCATTTTGTAGCTATATGTTTGAGCTATTTCTCTTCCCTGTGTATGTCATGTTGCATTCTCTGTTTAAATTATGCTCTTTTGCATTGTTTCTCAGATAATTAAGACAACTTTTAAATCTGATCTTGTAACTTGCAAAGTGCTTGTGATGCCTTCCCACTCAGTGCTCTCAATCTGTTTTATCACTAAATTTTCTATCTTGTTGTCCAAGTTATGGGTAGGTTAAAGTAGACCCAGGAAGAGCCTCTGGAGATATTTTAGAGAGTCCTTTGAGACTGATAACAAATCATTTCTTTCTTACTTTGTGAATTGGTCTTTCGGTCTTATTCAAACTGGTACATACTCACTGTGTGGAGATCTTATTAAGTCTGTATGACACTTGTGTCTTTTTGCTAATGTTGCAAATTATATTCTCATGACAGTAATAAATGTCAAGTATGTTAGTGCATTAGAAAGTTGATAACCATCAGAGCAGTCAGATGCTAAAGGATTCAAACTTGGAGACTAAAACAACCTAACTGGGTAGTTTAAGAAGAGTTTCTAAAGAGAGATGAAATGACACGGTTACCTGAAAGAGCAAAGAATTAGATATGAATTATGAATACTTTTGAAATTATTAATCAAGTGAATAATATTTTATTTTGAAATGAATCTTTTCCTAAAATGCCTCTAAGGCATCTCATAGCCTTTAGCATTGTTTCAATCACCTAAAATTGGCATGGGTAAAGTCCAGTGATGCTTATAACTCTATTCCTAGTTTACATGTAGCCTAAGTGTGTTTCCAGAAATCTAAAAGTTGATCTGTTCTCTTGTGATAGGCAACCTCATAGAAAGCCCTTGGAATTAATGGAATAAAAGTTTAATAGTTCCTGTTTGTATTTCCATCTGCTGCTGGTGGTGGTGCTTTGTGTGCGATAGTCTTCTGATATAAGCAAAACATTGCCTGTTGAAAGAGAGAAAATTTTCCGTTAGGTTGATTGAAATAGTGGAAAGAGTAGGCAAGTTTTGGGGGCTTCCTTACAGGGCTAGCCCATAAAGAAGGGGTTGGTAGCTTTAAGTTAGTTTCTTTTGAACTAGATCAATGGGCCTATTCCTCCTCCACATCCATTTTACTTCGTTTAACATCCCAATACAGTTTCCATCTGTTTTTATTTACAGATGAGCAAAAATTTATGGGCCCTAAATTATAGCAAATCTTGTTTTATATGGAGGTGTTATTACTTTCTAACTGTACTAGATTTCATTTTCTTCATTTTTAGGTTATTAATGTTGCACTCCATTATATGTGCATTAGCACTAAGCTAGTATGACAGTTTTGCTTTTCTCAAGTCCCTATCATTACACTGATGGCATAATGTGGCCCTTAATTTTTAAAGCTGCTTTCATTGTTACCTATTGTGAAGCTTTAACAACTTTTAATGTCATTTTTCCTTTAGTCATTTTCTAATATAGTCCTAAAATAAATTTCTTATGTTCTGTTCACTCATTATTTTTTGCTGCTTCAATGGGTTAAAGTGCCTATTACTGGTAAGTATACTGCAAGGAATGGGGAGAACTGCAAATCCTGAGGTTGATTGAAATGTATTTGATTTCATATGTGTAACATTACTATAAAAAGTGACTGGTACCTGTCACTCACGTTATTAGGCAGTTTAATGAGGCATAAATGCACTGAATTTAGCAACTTATGTGACAGTTCAAAGAGTCAGGTTACTTACTAGGAGCTCTCATTTCATACATTTCATTGTATTTTCAGCAACATGGAAGAAAATCTAACCTTAGGTTTTCTGTTTTCTTCCTAGAGTGATTTACTTTCTACCCTGAGCTCTTTGGAAGGCAAATAATGGCCTGATTGCAGAATAGCTATCATATGAGCAGAAGTGTTTGAGGGCTCACATACCCACTTCTCATTTTTGTAGTTATTTTCCAAAAATGTTTTCAATTTGATTTTTTTTCTTCCTATGAAAAGTCATATGAATTGCTGATTGCAAATTAAAAAAAAAAAGGTTTCACAGAAGGAATTGATTAAAGGTGATCATTTTAAGCAGTTTTGACATTCAAATTTGATTAAAGGGATTAATATAACATAAGACATAGGAAGAGTTCATTCTTCATGCTGAGTAAAAACTGCAGGTGAATTCAAAACACATTTTTTTCTAGTATAGTCTCTACTTTCTCCATTTATTCTTTATTTAGTTTTTCTATTAAAGGATTAAAATGACGGCTCTGGAGCATTGATTCTTCTTTCCAAATGGCAATAGTGTTCTGAAGTCCTAACATAATTGCTTCAGCTTTTCACTGTGATCTCAATTTACTATTTGTTGGCTTTAGACAAATGATGTGCTGATACCACTGTGGAGTTATTCTAATTTATTGTTTAAGGTGCAGTATTGCTTTTGATACACGCTAGCTGTAAAAAAGTTACTTTCAGGTGATAGAGACTGGAGTTCCCAAGTACATGAATGTCATAAAGTTTGGTAGTTTCAAATAAATTGCCCTTTGGACATCTTTATTGCAGGATGAGGAATTGCGAACTTTTGTGTGAGTTTGCAGTTAAATTCCTTTATGCACATTACAGCATATATATGCTAGGCAGCAGTTTGCATTCTCATAAATCAGATATATTTTTGAAGGAAGAGACTTGAAAATAGCTGTTGACTTGTACGGCAGCAGGTGCCATTGCCATGCTGGTACCTAATTCATTGATTTCTTGTAAATGCAGATGAAAATCACACTGCAACAGCAGAGTCCAGTCGTCTTCTGGACGTCCCCCGTTATCTCTGCGAAGGCACGGAATCCCCTTACCAGACGGGACAGCTGCACCCTGCCATCAGGGTGGCCGATTTATTGCAGCATATCAACCTGATGAAGACCTCTGACAGCTATGGATTTAAAGAGGAATACGAGGTGAGATCTTGAGCCGTTTGCTTGGAAAAATGGTTTGCAAGGAAAAATCCCTTTGAAAGGCACAGCTTTTTGTTTGCATTGAGTTACAAAAGCATGAAACCAAGTGTATTGGGATGAACTGAAAAATAAAGAAAGATAAGCAGGCTTTAGATTCTTTTATATGTAACCCAAAAGTGAAGAAGTGAGTGGAGTCCCAATGGTCTGAGACTCTGCAGGTTACAAGTTACAACACTAACTCTATTCTTAAATGAATAGGAGACTATTATAACTATTATAAGAACTATTATAAGACGGTGCCACTGTTTTACCGTGTTTTAGTTGAAACATAGTAATTAGTTATGTGAGCTCTCCTACGCCTTTTTAGTGAAGGTCATCTGGATTAGGTTAAAGTGGTGATTTAGCCTGGGTGGTTTTGCACTGCTAGAAGCACTCTAGTGATTTATTGCAGCATTTTGGTTGGGCAATACAGGGGTTGAGCAGGAAAGAAGTGCCAATGGCAGTAACTTCTTGTAAAGTTCTAATGAGACCCGTCTGAGCATGTCTACTTACATCCTTAATTTAAAAAAGAAAACAAAAATTCCCCAGCACTGAAGGCGAAAGATTAGTTCGGGCTCGCTTCACTTCTGGTCTCTGGATCTGTTGAGACTCTTCAGGGTTGCAATACGAGGCAGTTCACACAGTAAAATGTGTGCCATTTGTGACTGCCCAGGTCACATGCAATACAAATAGGTTTTGAAATGAGTTTTGTCTGAGGAGGTAATCTGTTATTCAATTTGGAACCTTCTCTCCTTCCAAAAGCTGTCTCTCCTGTAGCATAGAGACTAGTAATTGTCCCTGAGTTCACTTAAAGTGTTGCCTACTTTCCATTTCTTGTATAACCACACAAGGCATCTTTGGCCTAACTTGGGCTTCTGAAGGCACATTAAAGTTTTGTTTCTATGGCTATTGCATAGTGTATGACATTAGCCTTTGCAGTTCAGGATGACAGCACGCCTGGGAGGAGAGAGTATTACAGACCTGCAACAGTTGTTAAATATCTATATGGCAAATGAAGGAAAAACTGAGGAAGAATAAATGTTTCCTCCCTCATTAATGGGACATCAAGCTCCTAAGAAAATTTAGAACATAAAGAATTGTTTTGCTACTAGCTGGAGGAAGGGACATATATCATCCCTTGATATACACATGTATATATAAACATATATATATGTATATAAAACAACATGAGCAACATGTATTTGCAGAGGAGGCTTTCTGATTGCTTTATAGGAAGAAAAATCATTGCACCGAGCAATCTGAGGAAAGCAGTGCAATATTGTACCAGATGGGTGCAATAATGTATTGTAGTATCTTATAAGGAGGGTCTACTTGTGTTTTCTCAACTCATTGTTGTTCTCCCATAACTGGAATGTCCGTGCATGTCCAGCATACCACCAATTCCAGGATGTGAAATCCCACTGGAGTCCATCAGTCACTGGCCCTAAAAGTCCCAATGAGGGACTCCCTTTTGCTGTAATTATATTTCTGTATCATGGTGCAGCCTGGGTGGCCAGGGCAGACAAGCAAAACCGAAGCTTTCATTATGGCAGAGAAGCTCTTTTAACCTGTGTGTTAGTGAGAAGTTAACCATCCCAACATTTCTATCTGAACTTTTTTATTTATAGAGTTTTTTTGAGGGACAGTCGGCTTCTTGGGATGTTGCTAAGAAGGATCAAAACAGAACAAAGAACCGCTATGGAAACATCATAGCATGTAAGTATCAGCACTCTTGCTTTTGCTGATGGACATGGTCATGCATTGTTTGAGCACTATTCTTTTCCTTGAAAAATGTATAGTGGCATGCTGGCTTACCACCTCAATCAGGGAAGAGAGACAGTGCCTCTTCCAGCCTTCTCGTTGCCCTTCAGACATTTATGTTAGTTCAGCTTTCTTCCTCTTATAATTTGGGCTGAAGTTCACATTTTTATCTCTGTTGTACAAGCTGTGGTGAACATGTAAAAGTGACAGCACTCATTTGGATGCTAATTCTCTGGTAGCTTTCTTCAGGTATCATTTATTTCAGATTATTCTGACTGCTTCAAAACTTTTCATGCTTTCTGTGATTTATAGTGGATGTGATTTATATGATTTATTGCTGATATATCCGAATTGCAGTTGTTTAAAAGTGGTGTGTTTTACAGAGGCAATGAACATCAAAGAGCTCTGGCTCCTGTCTTTAGGCATAAAGTGTCAATAGTTCAGATTCATCCTCTGGGATAATGCAGTTTATTACAGTTTTAGAAAGGCAATTGAACATGTAGGAATGGAATTAAGGGAGAAGCTACTGAACTTATGGTGCTACCTGTTGATTAAAATCCAAATGTTTGGAAAGAGCTGGTAGAGAGCCATCTGTAGAGGACTTTAGTTCTCTACCAGAGCTGGTAGAGAACTCTGTGACTTTTTTTTCTCGTTCCGTAATATCTCACTTAAAAAAATCGTATGTAGGAAAGACACCATAATGGCTTTTGGTGTTTACAGATGACCACTCCAGGGTGATTTTGCAACCTGTTGAGGATGATCCATCTTCAGATTACATTAATGCCAACTACATAGATGTGAGTGGATTGTATGGCTTTCTCTCTTTCATTTTGCCACTTCTCTCTATATGAAACTTTTTGCATGATATGCCTAGAAATTAATTGAAAGCTTTTTTTTATTAAGAACAAAATGTACACTTTCCTTGTTCTGCGTCCTAGTACTCACTGACATTGTTGTGCTTTCTTTCACATCTGACTTTGATTTGGGCTGTAGATTTGGCTGTACAGGGATGTAAGTACCACTATATGTGAATAACAGCATCCTATTTTAAATATTTAATATAGATATTGTTATTAATTACTTTGTTCTATTTTTATCACTAGATATCTATGCATGCCTCATCTAATTTCTCATCTGTTCCTTTAAAAATGTCCTTTTGTGTGAATATTTTTGTACCAGTTTTGAAAAAAAAATTTAGAATGTTAAAGTTTCTCCAAATATTGTTAGATAAATGAGATACATCTCTGTGTTAAAGAAAATTTGCTGTTCAATTATTTTTTATGCTTCTGATTACAAGATTTTGTTTTCCCCTCCAATTTATATGTGAGAAGCTGGATGGTATGCTGTACTGTAGTTGTTTTGAAAATGTATCTTGTGAAGTAGTTGTAATATATGTTTGGGAAGAGGGTTTGTTTTTTGTCTGTTTTGTCGAAAGGGACAAATGTAGACAAACTGCATATTTAGCTGATGTTTGTCTTCAGGTGCCAATTTGGATATTACAAAGTGCATATACACAAACATATATATAAATATTTCAAAGTAAGAAAAATTTCATCATTTCTACTGTAGAAAATTCTTCTCAAGTTTGAAATTCCATACTTCAGTTAAAATGTGAATTAAAAGAAAAACTTGATAGTAACAGGAAATTTGAACAATTTCTGCTCTGTTTTAATTAACAAAATATAACTTTATTTATCTGCGGAATTCAAAGTAGTTTGAAAAGTAGTGAAGTAGCAAGTGCAGTGTTCTTAAATATGTGGCCTTGGTTACTTTTCTTTATAATTTCACATTAGTAGATTTGCTGTCCACTGTTAGTTTATAAATTATTTGAGACCCTCTAGATCTTTAAAAATATAAAAATTGAGCGACAGGTATAGCACTGTCTTCTTGTTTTGGTGTTTTTATATGGCAGTCTCTGTGATGTGTAGGCCCATGGGGTTTTGCGCTTTAGGGAAGAAAAGTCTCCCTGATCTGTAATAATTCCAGTTCCCTGAGGACATTGTTTTTCTTACTCAGAGGTAAATAGAGTCTCATTACAAGCAGAGAAAAAGGCTGCAAGTTAAAACTGGCACTTTGCAGTTTTAAAGTGACACTTTTACTTCATTCTGGGATGCACTACCGAATGTAAAAGAGCACAGCCCAGTATTCCACTTTAATAATTTGAAATTGGGGCTTGATCTTAAGAACTCTGGGAGACAATTTTTAGTAATTTGATGTAATCTTGGCCTCTTCTAAAGTCAAGAATAAGATACTCAGAAGTCTTTTCATAAGCCCCCGAGGAAGATGTTCTCACTCTAGACAGGATAATGAAGCAGTCCGTGGTAAAAGGATATAAACACCTTGGGTACAGTGGTACAGTGAAATCTTCCAGTTTAGTAGCAAGAAATAAACATGAAAAATCCAAGGACTCCATATCCCCTGCAATGCAATATTTGAATCAACTAGCTTAGTAAAATCATAACCTAATAAATAATGAGTTATTTCTCTCACTGTGAAATTCTGTGTTGTTTTATCATCAGCAATGCTAGAAGTTTTTCTGTCTAAGTGGCTAATGTGATGGCGGCCTCAATCAAAATAAATTCTCAATCATCTCAAGAGCAGAATCTCTCTGTCTTGTAGTTTGTGCGCAGATGATTGACACTTAAATCTGCATAGTACAGCTACATATATACCTATATATAGCTAGCAGTGGAATATATCCAGCTAACTGGAAAAGATTGGTTGTGCAGGGCTATCTATATATATGTATGTGTATATTCCTGTGAGTGTATTGTGTACAGTATAATACACGCACACTGTATATAGTGGTGCAAAGCACGTTGCGGAAGATTCTGTTCCTGAAGGACCGTAATTTAGTGCCCATATCACACTGTTCAGCTCCTGCATTGGAAAGATTTGTCCCTGCTATTTATGGCTTGGGAATATACCACTTTGTGCCTGGCAATAATTCTTTATTTATAAGAAAACAAAAGGTGTGTATTAGTTTCACATTTGTATGAGTTAGGAAGGATGATTCACTATTGAGATAATTTGGAGGCAAAGATAATTTGTACTCAATTTTAAATAAATGACCCAATGTATTGAGCTGGGGAGATAATGTGAATACAAGACTAATTTACAGGGGTAGTGACCTGTCTAGAATCCCCCTCCTGGTATGCTACAGTGTCTGTTCCAGTCAAATGTTATTTCCATTTTATCTGTTGCCATTCAAACCTATTCAGCATTAACAGTCTTTTTTTTTTTTTTTTTGGTTTTGAGCTTCATGCTGCTCTTAAATATTGGTTTGTTCTTAAAAGGTTGTCTAGAGCTAACAGTTCTGTAGTACATTATGTTTTTATTTTCCCCACTCTGTTAGTAATATGGTATTCAAACCAACTTGTATTGCTGTTCTAGGGATACCAGAGACCAAGCCACTACATTGCAACCCAAGGTAAGAATCAGCCAACATAAATCGAGTCTAATAGGCATCTGCCATGATGTTCAGTAGAGTTTTGGTAAAATGGGAATATGTGGAAATGAAGCATACTCAACACTAGGAGTTGTCTTCTTACATTGGGGTAAATCAGTATAGCATGTTCAGATGGAATGTGAAGAAATGCAAAAATTGCACTAATTTGTCATGTTAATTAGATATTGAGTAACTCTTTCAGTGAAAAATTCAGTTGATAAAGTCAATAGCTACGACTGTAAATTCTAATTATGAAGATGAATAGAGAAATGAGACACATGAACAGAGAAGAGTTCCAATCTGCCTCGAGGCATTTTTCTTCCCGTGTTATATTATTTCACTGTTCAAGATTTCATCCAAAATTGAAACTGTGAAGATAGTAATGATAAATTTAAACACTATCTCAGCAAATCTGGGTAAAATAAGGACCAAGAGAAACAAAGCCTTTCTGTAGACATAAGAGAAGAAGATGTTTATAGTGTAATACCCTGATAACAAAAAGCGGGAGTAGAAGTAAAATGTTATATTTCTATGACAGTTAGTCATTATGTATTTCTGATTAACTTCTCAAAATGAGGAAAAACAAATAGTTTGGTCTAAGATTGCACAGAAGTTTTAAAGGCTATGAATTAAAGTGAAAAGAATTATAGATGTTACTTATTCTGTGAGCATAATCAGATAACAGGCTGGAAATCTCTTGTTATTTGTGCCTTCAGTTGGCTGGGTATGCTCACAAAAATGCAAACTGAAAACCTATTATAAATCAGGAAGTTTAAAATTGCTCACATTTTCTTTGTTTTTGCTTAAGTGCCTTCTAGAAAAGTCTCCTTCTGTAGCAGTTAAGGCTATAGGTGTTTTTGAAGATCTGTTTTAATATGTGGATCAGTTACATGTCACGGTGCATACAAGGCATGCAAGTTTATTGCTGCCTTCCTCTTGCAGCCTTTAATTTGTCATGAGAAGGAACAGGCCTCAGCGTTCAGATGTATTTGCATTACACAGCTGCTACGCTGTGGTCAGCAAACCATTCTGAAGTGGTTATAGTGGTACAAAAGCCCCTGCCCCTCACATGGGTGCTTTGTGCCTCTGAAGCAGAGCAGCCGGCAAAGCTTGTGCGAGCTTCCCATTTACTCCACAGAAAAGTGGTTGAGTTACTTTAAACACCATTTGGTGGTAAGCTTAAATGCCCTTCAGTGACTCTTTGTGCCTGCACATGACAGGCAGAGAGGTGGGAAATGCATGCAATCTTTTCCAACAGCCTTTCTCACTGATATTTCTCTCCAATCTTCAGGGACCATCTCAAGAAACTCCCCCTCGGCACATTATTTCATAAATGTAAAACAAAATTAGAAATTTAACAAGGTGTGACTACATCTAGAGTTGCGTCTGTGTATTTTTCAAGCTACTTCTGGTGTTTTGCTGCATAAAACACCTGCATTTGATATCTTTCAAGTGGTAATTCAGTTAAACTGAGATGCTTCAGCATTGGTTGGAAGCAACAGTATAGTTTAGAAACTGGGATGATGGTATGATGATGTGGTTTTGTCAAGCTTTCACCTTGAGCAAACGCATTTGTCTGTGTCAGTTCCATAAAGTACTGGATTTTATTTTTATTGCTTGCTTTGACTGTGCTGTTAATGTAGAATAACAGCAGGCATTTTCCTTACAGGTCCAGTTCATGAGACTGTATATGATTTTTGGAGAATGATATGGCAGGAGCAATCAGCTTGTGTTGTGATGGTCACAAATTTGGTTGAAGTTGGGAGAGTAAGTTTTCTTCATTTTTTCCTCCATTTTTTATGCTACAGGCCTAAGAAAAAACCTGCTGACAACTAATATTACTAGCAGAATCTGGGAGGGTCTTGTGAAGGGCACCCCTTGTGTCCTCTCCCTAAGAGGAGAGGAAAGGGGAAACTTCATAGCTCACACATTTCTGAGAGTTAAAGTAGTGTATATAAAAAAGAAACCTTAGAAGACCCACCATGATGCTCTGTTACTCTTAGGAGTAGTGAGTCTGAATCCACAATTCTTAATTCAACAAAGAAGTTCTGGATATTAAGCCGCTCAAATTAGTCTAGCAAGTGCATGAGAGAGCAAGTACGCTTTTATATCGGTGGCTGGAAATCAGCAAATTACTTACAATTTAGCATTTACTCATCCCTTGGGGAGTAATCTAAAATATCTAAGATTACTTACAGCAGTTTGATTACTGGTATGAAATGCATCCCACTTTAACATAAGTGGAAAATGTCTTCCATAGCTCAGCACTAAAAAAAAAAGTGCTCATTTAGTAATGAGTTTGGTGTCTGACTACAGCTGTGTAAAATAGCATAAGCTCCTTCCAAATAGTGCTTAACTTGACAGAACAGCCATTAAACTTGAGCCATGACATGAGTCACTTGAATGCAGGGTCATTTTGGAAATAAGTATTTTCCACTTATAAATACATATAAATGGAATTATATATTGGTGGCATAATGCAAAACATGCGGTAACATTTTCTCAAGCTTTTATTTCTCTTTGGTGTAAGATCATTTTGCATTTTGTATTTAGGTCAAGTGCTACAAGTATTGGCCTGATGACACAGAAGTTTACGGTGACTTTAAAGTGACTTGTATAGAGATGGAGCCGCTTGCAGAATATGTCGTCAGGACGTTTACTCTAGGAAGGGTGAGTGCGTTTCCAAAGGCATTAGTGAAATACCACTCTGGTAGCAAGGCACATGCAGGAGGTTATGTCTGTAGGGGATCCTGCAGAAGACCGAATCCCTCTGCCTGCTTGAGAGGTCCACAGAGTAGGCAGCCTTATCTCAGGGCAGGAGTGATGACTGCATGAGGGGTGTTCACACACATGTATCGCTTTGGTGTTTAGAACTGCCAAAAATGTTGACTTCGACCCTCCCCTGTCCTGTCTACATTCACCTTTCCTCTGTTGACCCGAGCTGGGCTGCAGTACTTGATTATGAACTGTTGTGCCAGTCATTCCTCTCTGCCTGTTCTATTTTATTAGAAGTAAATGTGGCTGAGTCAATCATCTCCCTTGATCAGAGAATGAAACGAGTCGTTATAAGATATAGTAGTGGTCTCTCAGTAAATCATTGTACTCGCCAGCAAATGTTGCAGACCATTGCCTTAATTAGCAAAACTTGTGAAAATCAATGAAAATTGCATCTAAGCATAGGGGAAAATATCTAATGATGCGAAACTAACATATCACTATAGCTAATATAAGAATCATGAATTTCAAAATGGAAAAAAAAATACAATAACATCTTTAAGCCTGTGTGTAAAGCTTTATGTGAAAGCCTTGGGTAAAAAAATAGCAGGAAAGGTAGTTTCTGCTCTTCATAAAGGATGTCTTGCAGTTTTGGAGTCAGATTAATTTTCCGTTGTAAAAGATGTTTTTACTTTTAAAGATGGAATGCTGTGTTTTGTCCTTTAAATATTTGTTGAAAGCTCAAATGATGGAGACGGCAGGCAGATTCTAACAGTGGTGTCATTGCTTGATTCTGAAGAGGTCTTGTGTGTGAAATACTTTGAATCTCGTAACCTTTCTTTTTGCCTTTTACAGAGGGGTTACAACGAAATCCGTGAAGTTAAGCAGTTTCATTTCACTGGCTGGCCAGACCATGGAGTTCCTTACAATGCCACCGGCCTGCTCTCGTTCATACGGAGGGTCAAACTGTCTAACCCTCCTAGTGCAGGGCCCATTGTTGTGCATTGCAGGTGGGTACAGGAGAGGTAGACTCATTTTCCACACCTTCCTCCCTGAGCCTGTGTAGCAAGCTCTTGTGAAGCACACAGTGTTTTTGAAGTGTTTTGTTGTTGTCCTGTTTTTGAATTGCATAATTCACATTGCAAGCTTAGGACAAGGCTGTACACAGAAGCATTCATAAATAACTCAATTCTAATACAGTTTTCCCAAATAGAATAGTTGGACTTTTCTTTTTCCTGTGAGAGTTACATTAGCTAAATCATGGGCTTTAGGACATTTTAGGCGTCCTACAAAAATTTTGTGACAGCACTCTAGAGTGAAGCGTAGTTACAGCTGCTTTGATGGTTTGGTGTTATATATAATGTCTGAGCAGATCATTAATTTAAATCAAAGTAAACAAGTAGATGAATGAAGATGGAATGAGGTTAATGGCAGCAAATACAGCATGTTGTTTCCATGTAGGCTTTGAATGACTTGTATTTTGGGACACAATCCTTTGCAAATAGAATTTTCTATCATCAGAGTCGTCAAATGTTTAATTACATTCAGTAGAAAAAGATATTAATATTGTTCAAATTTTAAAAAAATCACTCCAAAAAAATGTCTATGGCTACATATAAAAGCAAAATGAATCTAGAGATCTTTCGCTTAATGAAAAATGAACTGCCTAAATTGTTTTAGAGTTTGGCTGTATGCTTGAGTTTCTTGTTGTAATATTTCACTTGAAAATTATCACTAATCATACCAAATAAAAAAAAATCTGTTATGTTTTGAACTATGTGAGCTTAATCATCCTCCTGATTTCAGTTTAACTAAGAATTAGTTTTTTACTGTAAGTATTCATCTGGGTGATAATTTTTTGCTATTGGGTCAAATCTGATAAAAATTGGTTGTTCACCTCAAAAGATTTAAAAGGCATTATGAAGAAGGGGAGGGAAAATAAATATTAGGTTGTGATGAAAGAGAAATTGCATTTTACAAACGCTTTAAAGTTTATAAAGATGTTTGTAGATGTTTTATGAGAGCATTGTTAACAGTATTTACGGATTATTTTTAGTGCTGGTGCTGGACGAACAGGCTGTTATATTGTGATCGATATCATGTTAGATATGGCAGAAAGAGAAGGTGTTGTGGACATCTACAACTGTGTCAAAGCTTTGCGTTCCCGTCGCATCAACATGGTGCAGACAGAGGTACGGCACTTTCCCTTCGAAGGACCTGCTGCTTTTTCAAACGTGCTAGATCAGAATTTTGCTGTCACTTTGAACACCACAAACACCTGGCAGTGGATCTGGGAAGGGGTTATCCCCACTGGGAGGCATTACTGCAAACAGAACTACGATCGTGTAGCAAACCTGCCAACTCTCTCTGTCTCCATACACAAATACCCATCTAACTTTGTAAGAAAAAGGAAAAGTAAGGGGAATTTTTAGGCATGGCCCTACAATAGGTTCATCTGGCACATCTGTCCTCAGTCCCAGTACCCGCAGTTCTGCAAAAGTAATCCCAAAGTTGGAAATTCACTTTATTGCTGCCAATTTTGAACCCATTTTATCAATTAAAGCTTGTGCTGCTTTAGCTTCATTGTTATCCATGTTATGTAGAGGAAGCTGGCACAATTCATGCAATTTGCTGTAGAGACGAGACATATGTTCTTCCTAACTCTTGAGGTAAGTAAATAGTGTAGGTGCTGTGTAAAAAATGACAGGAGACCTGATTGAAATAATCGGTATCTGGGACTCAGAATATCTCAAGACAAGCCAGAAAAAAATGGGAGGAAACATTGTTCCTGTTTGGATGCTCTTGAGTTTATTACTAGCCTAGAGCCAGCTATCAGTAAATTGGTGTACTAGCTTGCATACACATAAGGAGAATGCAGCATGCAAAATAACTGCTAATCATGTGCAGTTCTTGCAGCATTTTACGCTTTTTGCTAGTTTTACAAGAATGAAAGCTATTTTAAAGAAGAAAATTAGTAAAGCCAGCAAGTCACTGACATACACACAGAAACCCACAAACACCCTAAGAAAAGTGAAAATGTCCTATTAAGTAAATTGCTATGTCTGTGCTCCTGAGTTTTACTGAGTTTAAATTACCTTTAAAGAAAACATGCTGATTAACTACATTCCTGGCATGATGAGGGTTTGTCATCCTAAAAGCAGTATCTAATAGATTGATGGACACTGCCTTGAATGAAATATAGTGTTGCAGGTAATGTGCTTATTCTAAAGGAAGTAAAGATTCTTTGTTTCTAAATGGCTGCATATATTTTTTCTTCCTCTAATTTGGTAGGAGCAGTACATCTTTATTCATGACGCCATTCTAGAAGCTTGTCTGTGTGGAGAAACTGCTATTCCTGTCTGTGAATTCAAAGCTGCATATTTTGATATGATTAGAATAGACTCTCAGACAAACTCTTCACATCTCAAAGATGAGTTCCAGGTATTTGCGGTTCCTCCTAACTCTTCATGTGACAACAAGCTTTGTTGCCTCTGGCTACATTTAATTGATTTTAAGGGAAAGGATTTGTGTATCACATATATAATGCTCAGTCCCTTTCTTTTGTTCCACAGAACACAGCATTCATGTTTACATGCTTGGCAAAGTTGTTTTAAAACATGGGAAACATGGAATAATTTGAAAAAAAAATGAAGCAATTATCTGGCTGGAATAAGGAGCATTGACTGGGAATCTGAGAGAGCTTTTGCTTGCATTTTTACAGCAAAGGCACAGTTCTTTGGAGCTCCAATAACATCCTCTTTGCTTTATTCCTTTCTGAAGGGATGGTGGCAAGCAGGATGTGTTTAGTGGTGCAGAGAACGCCTTTTGCACATGCAGTTTAAATCCTCTTGGAAAGTCCAAGCCTACTTAGCAAACTTTTATTTGCTAATGATTCTGCAGCGTTGCAACATTTAAAATTAATAAGTCAGCAAATGCTGAGACCATTGCTTCCGAGCGTGACAGCAGCCTCCTCTGTTCCTTAGACGCTGAATTCGGTGACCCCGCGCCTGCAAGCTGAGGACTGCAGCATAGCCTGCTTGCCAAGGAATCACGACAAGAACCGCTTCATGGATATGCTGCCACCTGACAGATGTCTGCCTTTCTTGATTACTATTGATGGGGAGAGCAGCAACTACATCAATGCTGCTCTTATGGACGTAAGAGACTATCTCCTTTGTCTGCATAGTGTGCCATGAAAAACTATGTAATAGGAGAGAGAGCACTTGCGGGTTTAAGAAAGGGTAACTCTTTCTTGCTGTAGTGTAGTCTTAACAAAGAAGGGGGGAAGTGGTAGCCTCCTTTCCCCTCTGGCCCCCTACGTTGTGTAGTTTCTTCATAATGCTTGATATCTTAGTCTTCTGCATCCTTATGTGACCCGCTGGAAAACTCTCCTTTTCAATAGCGTTGTAGAAAACCCCAGTCTTCTGAATCTCAGATCTCAGCAATCTGTTGTTTGTTGGAAAATAGAGATTACCTGCCTGAGGAAGAGGTTTCTATTGTAATTTTAGTAAAAAGGCTACATGTCTTGAGGCAGGGAAAAACAGAGGAAGAGACAAAAATGTTTCTTTGGCAGATTTGGTGATAGGGGATTTCTTTCATGTTCATATTTTAAATTGCAGCTATTAAAGATCCTTGGAGTTCAAGCAGTGGTGATGCCATCAGGGAAAAGGGTGAATTAGTGGAAAGAACAGAGATGTCCGATCCATCATGCAGTTCATCACACGTGTGCTGTGATGTGGCTTTGCCTGTGCCTACTGTTAGTGTTTCCAAAGTTAGGCCCCTAAAGCCATGTTTTCAGTAAATACCTAAATAAAGGGCCTGATTTTCAGAGTATCTCGCTTTCCTCAAAAAGTGAACTACTGTCAGGAATGGAAGTGTCAAAAAAAGATGCTGGAATGATATGGAAACTAGCAGCAGCAGTCATCAGGACTAAATGGTATAGGTCCTGGCGGTCCTGTCTGCGCTAGAAAACATTTAAACCTCTAGCAAAACACAATCTCTGATCTCAAAATTAGCTCTTGTGCCAGGAAAATGGAGGAGTAGCATGTGTGAGACCAATCTATTAGCGAGTCATGAGGGCTGAATGGATGAATTATAGAGCAGTGAGCAGCATTCTGGTAGCAACTAAGCTCTTTAAAATTGCAGTTAAAAATTACATTAAACACCTGGACGAAATGGATGTGGTCTGGAGGAAGCAGCTCAGCTGTGCAGAGGAGGGGGCTTTGGGGAGAAAGAGTGACAGGCTGCGTGGCAGGAAGATGCCCTGGGTGGCAAGCAGAGAGAGAAGCAAAAGCCAATATATTAACGGATAAGCAATCAGAGGCAAGTATGGAAAGGCAGAAGTGGTAGCAATAAAAAAGGAACTAGTGCTTATAATTCTAAAAGGAAAAAAAAAAGCAGCAAAGTTAAGCATATGTATTACGCTAAGGGGACATAACAAGGCTATAAATACAGGATAAAAAATGTGGATAATAGAAGTTTCTGGTTCTGCTTTCATAATTTTCTTTTATTCAGAAAGAGGTGCCCCAGAGCTGGGCAAGAAGAGGAGGATTTACAAAGCAAAAGAGATATTGAAACCTTTCTTTTTCTGCACTGTACTGTGTCCCTATCTTCTTTCATAAGAATGCCTCCCAGTGGGACAGCAGATATCCTGTCTGTTCTTTTGGAAAATCTGAACCCAAGGACATTCTCTTATCTTGGGAAGGTCCAGAAACGATGGGCAAGAAGGCTAAGAAAGAATCAGCTAGTACATGTTTTATTCCTTGATAATATAAGGGAAGATTCTGGAGTGATTGTTCCTCTTTGCTCTGTCATCATTTCTAGGCAGCAGGACACAAGCTGCATGCCCATGCTGCTATCCAGACTTGCTTCCTGCATTAGAAAAAATGGCATATGCGAGGGAAAGAAAATTGTCATCCTCCTTACTCTGCTATCAGATAAATACTGATTCTAGTGCATTAACTGAATAATTTGTTATCTTCACAATGTACAGCAAGTAGTAGCAGCAAGTGAAAAAAAAGTTGCATATTTTTTTCTTCCTCAGCCTCACACTGTGCTCTTCAAGGATATGTCAATATAATACACATGAAGATCCCTCATCTTACCCTTCAAACAATCAAGCTTGCATGCTTGAAGTGTTTTACATATCATTCCAGGTCCTTCTCTTAAGTTAATTTACAATACTTAGAACAGTAAAAAACATTCACACTAGATAGAAGCATAGGTACTAAACACTTAGCAGGGGCATCTCCACATTGCACACTGCTGTCCCACAGCTTCATCTTCAAATTGGATATTTACGTTCCCATTCACCCACAAAAATATTCGCTGTATTACTCTGTTTTTCAAATTAACCTTTTAGAGTTTCCTTTCCAGTTCATATCTGTATTCCTTCACTAAATTCAAGAATTCTTCCATGTATAGTTGCATATTGCCTACAAAAAGCCTCTGTCCTCTCCTGTTCTGTTCGCTGCTAGTAGTTTATGTGCCGCAGGGACTAGTCCCTCTGTGAGTTAGTCTGAGCCAACCTATATAGGGCCAGAAATCCCTATTTGCAGCTGTGCCTACTGCAGCATACAGACAATAGAATTGGCTGTCATGAGAGAAAAATGATATTTCTGCCTAAGCACGCCATCCAGCTATTTAACTTCTGCTTTCTGGTGGAAATTAGGTCCAGTGAACTCGATGGTTAGTTCTTCAATCTGGTAAATGTTGTCATAAGTGAGGCATCTAGTTGTCAGCCAACGCACTGCTTCATTCCTTTCCGACTTCACTGTTTCTGCAGCTTTCTTCTTTCAAAACAGCAGTTCTGCTTATAGACAGAGACCATAAAATGTGAAGAGTTTTTTAGCAGAGGAATTAAAAGGTTTTTTGGTTTAATAGTAGTGCTTTGCGGGGCTTTCTTGAAAGTCTGCTTGATATTATCTCAAAGATAAACCTTTAGTGAACAGCAAGGGCTGTCTGTACTTCCTAAGAAAAATACAGTGACCCTGTGGTTGCGGCTCTGAAGCAGAGTTTTGAGATTGAGCTTAATCCCCAGTTCAGTCGTAGAGTTCATGTGCAACCTGGTGTGAATGAACTAAGCCTTTGAGCCTCCGTATCCCTCACCGTGACACAGGGAGGGAGCTCCCCGGCACAGCAGCTCGAGTGGAGTTGCCCAAGCCTCCGCTCGGCATAGCCCAGAGAGCCTCCTCAGTGCCACGTGCGCATCTGAACTCGAGCAGGACCTCGGCCCAAGCAGACCGACCTCTTTGTTCTCGCTTGAGACAGCAATGTATTTTTAACAGGAGCTTTGATGATATCTGGTGTATTTGATGTCACAGCTTTGTTCTATTTCTGTATTTCTGCTGCGGAGTTTGCATGGAAGTTATGAAGTATTTCCTTTACTAACACTAATGACATCGTTTGCCTTTACAGAGCTACAGGCAGCCAGCGGCTTTTATTGTCACGCAACATCCTTTACCAAACACTGTGAAAGATTTCTGGAGATTAGTGTATGACTATGGCTGCACTTCTCTTGTGATGTTAAATGAAGTCGACTTAGCACAGGTTAGTCTGGGGATTGATTTTTCCATGAACCTGTGTATGGCATTAACCACTTTGGACTCTCTGTTTGATCAAAGTGTAGAGCAGCACAGTTGCCCTGTTGCTCTGCTTTACAGAGACTAATTAACATGAGGTGCTCAGCAAGGGGTGCTGTCTGCGGAGGAATTAGTCTTACCTTTTGATCATGCCCGTTTTGCTCTGCGCAGGGCTGCCCACAATACTGGCCTGAAGAAGGAATGCTGAGGTACGGCCCCATCCAAGTGGAGTGCATGTCCTGTGCCATGGATTGTGATGTGGTAAACCGTATTTTCAGGATATGCAACCTAACAAGAGTAAGCATTATCTTAAGTCTCTCATGTTTTTTTTTTAACACTGCCTGAGCTACTATGGTTTTACTTTTAAATGATGTTGGTGTTCGTCAGACATAAATCAGAGAAGTGTCAAGCATCGATGTCTAATACTGACTTCTACTACTTTTCTTCAGCTGCACAGTAAACCGAGAGAGCATTAAGGTGAATGACTGCAGTTCTGTAGTGCTCTCTGATGGCTGTGTTAGAAGATGTGTTAGAAGTATTCCAAGTCTCTGTACAGTGAAAGAAAAAAACATGTAATGAACATGACTGGTATGACATAATGACTGGTATTTAATTCATAGCTTTCCTAAGACGTTGTGTGTGATACAGCAGAATCTGAAGGACTTATGGTGTGTATGTAACCAGTACCACCTTCATTTTAAGATGCGAGCACCACAGCTTAGAATACTGTGACACTCTACATAGTAGAGTGTGAAAAAAATTCTGAAATTCTGAAAATTGGTCTAGTTCTTGTTCATCCTTGTTACGAATAGCTTTCATTTAATACTGAACTTGGGGACCACCAGTTGTGACTTTCGGCATACTTCTAGCTTTCATTAATGGTGAAGAGTAGCTGTGAGCCATAGGGAAAGCAGAAATTGCTCTGTTTACAGACCTATTTTATTGTTGTTGTGGTTTTCTTTGGGGATCATACTTTGCAAAAAACAGGGATCAGTTTGCATGCAGCCAGTATTTTATCCAAACTTGTTATTTATTCATATTCAAAGTTAAGAAAAATATTTTCAGTTCTCCATACCCTATTTAGAAGATTAAGCTGTACGTACACTGGGTAAATATTAAGCCATAACCCTTTTTCTGTTGTATATTGAGATTTCCTCTTTTCTTTTTGGTTCACTTCTCATTTTCACTTCTTACAGATTTTAACAATGACGTTTTTACTACATTATTGATGCTAAGGGTGAATACACAGAACTAAAGGAATTTGCCCATTTACAGGAAGTCAGGATGAATTTCATTAGTGTTTGGTAAACTGTGATATTGTTTGAATATAGTTACTTTTTTTTTCCCCCTTAAACTTTAATTCTGTTCCTTGAGTCCAAGTCATATGAATTTGCAGAGAGCCTGCCATGCAGTACATACATGTTGGAATCTGTCCATGATGTGAACATTTAGGTTTCAACTTAATTTTCTGTTTTGTTTTTCTAAATCTACCTGTAAAGGTGCTATATTGATCTAAAAATCTTTGCTTTCCCTCAGCCACAAGAGGGCTATCTGATGGTCCAGCAATTCCAGTATTTGGGATGGGCTTCTCATAGAGATGTACCAGCTTCCAAGAGATCTTTCTTGAAGCTAATCCTCCAGGTTGAAAAATGGCAAGAGGAATGTGAAGAGGGGGAGGGACGGACCATCATTCATTGCCTGTGAGTAGTTCTGGCAAAGTCAGTTCCTGCTCCTCAAACAGTAGTTTTAATTTTAAGTTCCAGCAGCATTCAGATGGCTACATTCTCATGCATATGCCTTTCTTACCATAAAAAAATAAAATAAAATAAAACAAAATGTACCTCTAGTACTCTAGATCAGCCTCTGGTCAACTTCCAGATTTGTCTGTTAGGTCAACATATCATGGGAAGGAATATTGTGGATACGATATTGCAGTGGTATACTGCATATTGTTTCCTTCCATAATAATAGCATGTTTATATACAAAGTATGTACAGATTGATTTCTTTTGCACAATTTCAATTTTTTTTGCAGGTCTTTAATGCTAAGTGCCAGTTATTAATTTTTCATATACCTCTTTCATATGTTCTCTTGCATTTTCTTCTTCAAAAGGCTACTATATTTTGAGCTTTTTTTAGACTGGCTATGTGAAATCAGAGAAATATTCTGTAACCTATTAACTGATCCTGAAATACTGTTGGTAAATGACTAGTGGCTGCTTATTTAGTCTGATATTTAAAAAGAGATGGGTAGGAAGTACTCAATTCGTTAAATGTGTTACCAGCAAAAAAAAAAAAAAAGCTGGCATAGGGGTGAAAAGGCAGCATCTTTTCTTCCCTGACCAGAAAATGACCAGAATCTTTCCTATCTTATTTAAATATAAAGTTAGAAATTGAATTATACATTTCTCTTTCCTCAAAAAAAAAAAAAAGTTTCTACTTAAAAGCTCAGAGTTACCTTGTGACTGCAGTAATATATGTGAACTCTTCCTGCCCACCCTGCCACAGTATCCACCGGACCATCTGGCTAATTTAAACTTAACAAGAAAAAGCGCCTATCCTAATTTCTTTGAAATGAAGATTAAAATAGTTTGGAAGTTTTCCCAGAGATCAACAAGATATCAAAACAGTTGTGCCCCAGCATTAGTCTGGCTTCATAATCATCCTATTTGAGGGTGATTTAAATGAATTGCCTTCTAGAATTAAGTGGAAAATGTTGTACTTGCTGTTGAACTTAGGTTTTAATTTTGAATGCCTATGTAAACTAGGCTGTAGCCTAGCTGAGTGACATGGTGGAGTTTAAGGACCAAATTCAAGATAAGTTATTGCATGCAAGGTCAGAAATAGCAAATATCTCTGTCCAAATTCACTGAGGCTTCAAGGAGATAGTGGAAGACTGATCTTGCTCTGGGAGTCTTGAGTCACTCGTCCTTAAGAAATTTAAAAAACTGAAGGGCCAAGTAGGTGGCCTTTTATACAGTTGTGAGGTTTAATCACCTATTTTCCTTGTGTGTAGAAATGGTGGTGGCCGGAGTGGGATGTTCTGTGCCATCGGAATCGTGGTGGAAATGGTGAAGAGGCAGAACGTGGTTGATGTTTTCCATGCTGTGAAGACCTTGCGGAACAGCAAGCCCAACATGGTCGAAACTCCAGTAAGTGTGGCCTGCAGTGAATAACACAGATTGATGGGCCCCCCCAAAGACTAACAAACTCAGTTATTTGCTCTTTGGGCTGTTGGGTGAGCTGCACACCAGGCCCTGTGTCTACACAACAGGGAAACCTATGTTGGTCTTCAGTAGAAAGAAGAAAGGTACCAGTTTCTTGGGTTTTTGGCCTCCTATTGTAGTATACACTCCTCGGAGGCTGCTTGTGATTCTAACCACGAGCATAAGGTTGGGAAATGTTACATCCTGCTATGTAAATGTGTGTTGTGTACACACTGGTTAGACTCGTCAGAGGCTTGGCTGAGCATCTACGTTACTTTTCTTGTAGTGGTTCGGTGCTTTTTGCAGAAGACATTTTGAGTTAGCAGAATGCACTTCAGCCTCCCAAAATAACCTGGTGTATTTGAAGCGAAGCTGCAACGTGTTCTGCTCACTTAAACCATCTTGAAATTTTACAAAGCCTTTCACTTCTTGGTTGGAATAAGCTGTAAGGTCCGGATCAGTAGCTGGAGATATGAATTTTTTGCTTCTTAATAACCGCTGCTGGTTTGGAGGCTGTACTGAATAATGAGATATGTCTGTTACTCAAATTTCTAGTAGTGAAAATAATACCTCCAAGCTTTAAAATCAAGGAGATTGTGTTCAGTATGCTGGAGATTAACATTTAAGCAATATAAAGCTGAATTAGCAAAGCAATGAGGCTAAATTAAATATTTTTACATATACTGCCAGAACTCAAAATCAGCTTTTGATGAATGAGCGCCTATCTATCTATCCCTGCGATCCCTTCAGTCTCCAAAACGGAATGTTGTGGAAAGTCCTTTAAAAAAAAAAATTGCATCCTGAGTGGATGTTTTTTTCCTTCTGATAGCTGAATGTGAAAGCAGGTTAGACAGTGTTTTGGTGTTTCTGCCATTTGACTCTCCCGCTGCTGAGAGTCAGTGTCACTTTTCAGCCAGATGGCTGCCTGAAGCATAAAATTCAGAGATGCCAATTGAAATTAAAAATATTTTGCAGCTTATGCATAGTGAAAATTGATTCTGACCTTGTGAACTTGTGTCGTGAGCAAAGTAGCTTTAGCTGCCTTTTCACATGCTGCCCCTTTCCCAGGTGCCAGCTCTTGCTTAGGACCATGTAGCTTCTGTGGCAGGATTTGCTTAATTATTGTTTATCTCTTCCATCCATTGGCAGCAGATAAATTAAAAAGATAGTTAAAATGGTAGCAGATAAAGCATTCTGCAGCAGCAGTAATATCAGTCTAGTAGCTGGTTTTGCTACAAATCCTTTACACTCTGCCATGCTGTAGATGTCTCAGACACAGCACACTGAATTACTGCCTGCGTTTCAGTTCACTGCTGGGAGGAAAACAGGTCAGATCACATGGAAAATTACTTGTGTCGCTGTAAAGAGAGGCCAAGGTGTAGTGTGTATGTTCCTGATAAACAATCTCTAAACTCGCATTTCGTTTCAAAATGGTCCTGGATTCCATTGTAGCTTTTATCTGTACTTACTGCATTTCCGTAGTGAGGTGTTTGTGTTGTGAGGGGTTTTATTCAGAACCCTTGAGCAGCAGCAGCTGTTGAGTCGTTAGAACACAAACCAGGAAAACCAATATAACACTGTCAGGTGCCCTACATTCAGCAAGATGATCAGATAACAGAAATGAGCAGCGCAGTAAAACCTTTGAGATATCCCCACCACTTCCTGCTAATGGATTGTTCTGGCTTGCTTTGCAAACACAAATAAATCACCAGAGCAGGTTCATTTTGTGTAGTTGTAAGGGCAGTTGAGATTGAATTCATTTCCTTGTTTTTTTTTCCTCTCCTTATTGCCTTCTCCTCTCTCCTTTCCCTTTCCCATCCCCAGGTGCTGCCTCTGAACAGCACTCTTGTTAAGGAGAAATATTAAGCAAGAAAAGGTTGGGAGCTTTACTGCTTTACCTCCCCTTCTAAATGTGTCTTCCAATCTCTGGCATTACAGTACTGTTACTACAAAAGCAGACCTTGTATCAGAGCTCAACATTCCCAGGCTATTAGCATCAAGCAGCAGGCACTAGTGTTAGCTACTAAATGTCGGCTAACTTGAATGTAAATTAGGGTTGAGGCTCTTCCCCACAAGAATGTTCTGATGGATAATGAGAACTTCCAGGTTTGATAACTAATTCAGAAGCTGGAAAAAAATCAGGGAAGGGGATCATTGTATTTTGTGGTCATTCTTTTCTTTCCACTTTGATGGTTAATCCAAGTTTTAAAATCAGAACTAGTAATATCCTTGTGTAATAGGAAACAAAATTAAGTATGTCAGGCTTGAAGACAAAATTGCACAGTAGATAACAAAGAGTTATGTTTGTAGATATCGCTGTTCTTTCATATTTTAGAATTATGATTTAACTTTTCTACTTTTTTTTCCCCCCCTTTAAAGGAGCAGTATCGTTTCTGCTATGACGTTGCATTGGAGTACCTGGAATCTTCTTAGTTAGAATGGAAGTGATAAAGTTCACCAAATATATGAATCTCAATAAGCTGTTTTGACAACAGTTCTTGATCCTGTGAAGAAAGATTTTAGGGGAAGAGGGGGGAGGGGGATTTTAAATTTTAAATGCAAAGTATTTTTCATATGAAGTTGTGTATCTTAATAAAAAAACTCAATCTGTTTCTATGCCTGTATACAGTATCAACATCTAGTGCCACATAAATACTGTTTAATGAAAAACAGAGTCAGAAGAGATTTGCGCAAATTAGGACTTTTCAGTGTTTGTATATGCAGCCGTCTCTCAATTACAATAGAGCAACCATCTGTTGCATGTATCAATATTTCCTATATGGTATTAATTTTCTTTCTTTTTCTTTTGATACATTGTTAAAGTAAAATAACAGTGCAGATTGATAGTAAGGTTCATTCTTTATACGTTTCAAGTGTTGCATATATATATATTATATATAGTAAAAAACTGGCTTATTTTGTTTTAATGTGCAATGATGGCTGGATCACATAAAGATCTTTATAAAGAAACTTAAACATAAGCCAAAGACTCAAGTGTAAATATGTCTATATTGAGAAAGCACATGTATTTATTGTTCACTTGCATTCCTTTTTTGATGGCTGAAAAAAAAAAGAAGAATCATTTTTCTTGAAGAAAGCTTTTTTTGCTGAAATCAAGTGTAAACAATTTTTGTAGTTTATTTTTTGTATGTTTTAGTGTAAGTAGAAGACATACTTTTTATGCATAGACCAGGAAACATCGGTATAGTGGTTTTGTTGTGTACATGCTTGTGATTCAAATCCATGTAAACAACTCACTTATAGAAGGTCTTTAACTATAGGACCAAAATCAAAACATTTTGCTGAAAATGTATAGTTTTTCACAGTTGCGTTAGTTAAATACCGATCAAAAGACTCTAAATGGAAGGACACACATCAGAATGGCCTTGCCTATGACTTGCACAATATTGGAAGTAATTTTTAAGCACCATTATAATTTCAAGAGAAGCAATTGTTTAAAAATAATCAAGCACAGATCAAAAGGACAGCTGCTGGACAACAAGATGGCACTAGGTATGCCCTTCAGGGTTAAAGGTATTTGTTGAGCAAGTTGTAAAATTAAGCAATGTTTATTTTGATGTTTACAAACATGTAAGCTCTGCTTCCGAGAAAGCAAAATTTGAATAAAACAATGCCAGATTCTGATTATAGTGGTGGTGTACAGAATATTACTGTGCTTTTGCTTAGTTTGTATCCATTTGTTCACAAGTTTTCATATATTTTGCCAACTAAAATCTTTCCGGTCTCTGGTTGGTCTTTTTTAGAAATGACGGTAAAACAATGCGGTGCTTATAAATATTATGTAAAGAGTGAATTAAACTTTTATTTAAAGATTATTTTATATCATTTCTTAGTTTGATAACTTCTTATGGACATTGATAAGGAGTCATTTTTGTCTTGGAAGAGCTATATATTTGGATAAGAAACATCTCAGCAGTAAATTATGTTGCATTTCACTTCAGTATTTCAAAGAGTATTTGGAAATAATCCATTTAATCTGCTTGAAAACAGGAATCAAAAATAAAGTTTCTTTCTTTACTTCAGACACTTGGAGCCATTCAATATCATAAATGGCTGAGAAATGTTTATGCTACTTTGAGATTTTTTCCATGCTCTCATCTGTATTGTGTACAGATCTACCTCTTCCAGATCTTAAAAGAAGAAAAAAAAAATCTGATTCTTTTCTTATCCTGCCTATGAAAAGCAAGGTATGCAAGTCAGGTTTGAAAAAGTTTGCTAGCTCTGTCTACTGTTCTGTCTTTGATATACAAGGAGGGGGAATTATAAGTTGCCTGCAACATCTCTCATCTTTATGAGGCCGTGGAACTTCAATTGGCATTCAGCTAACTTTGGTTGTCAAAATACTGTATATATCATCTAAAGATAGTGGAGGCACCTCGATCGACTGATTCACCCCACTCTTTAGGCAGCTGTCTGAAATTAGATGAATTGGGCTCTGGAAGAGCCTTCCTCCATTGACCATAAAGGGCATTGAAAAGACAACACTAATCTAAAAGTTTTGTCCAGTTTTTCAACAGTTTGATGAAAAGCTCTTGGGACTTTGGAATGCCAAAGCCAAAATTCTGTCATGAGCAGAACCATTATTTTTAATAATCCTTTCCTGACCCAAAATGTGGCATTAAAATTTATCTGAATGCTTGTTTTCAATGACAGATCCTATGGTGGGGTCCACCCCATCAGAAGTTCATAGTGCTCGGTGAGGTCTTTGGGTCTGATTTTCCTCATGAGCTGAGCACAACTGGTACAAATGCCAGCACTGACCCTGGCATCACAGCACAGGCGAACAGAAAGGACACTGTGCCTGCATGGGAACACTGCTCTAGTAATTCTGATATTTTGACAGAGTCACGTAGTTTCTGTAACCCAAGCTGCTCCTGGCAGCTGATGAGCTTTGCAGGAGCTAATTGTTGAAAAACTTGTGGGAAATTCCTCTCTACGAGGCCTGGGAAAAAGTATAGGGAGGAAATGGACTGCGGTGTGTGAGAAGCACCTCAGAAATACCCAACTCCAGTACTGGTAAACCTTGGTGTCCTTTAGGCAGAATATAATATTAAAAGCATCGAGTCAGAGCAGAATCAGAAAGAGGCAGGCTGCTTTCATTGTGCCAGATCTTTCCCCTCTCTTCTCATGTGCAGTGGCAGCAAATGTCAGCTCTGTTTCCTGGGAGCATCGACTCCTGTGTAAGACAAAGAACAAGAAGCGAGTAGGCTGCAAATCTATCAGAGAGATATAAGGGGCATTTCCCAAAAACGGTGTGCAGTGGAGGGATAGGATTCCCTCCCTCCCTCTGGCCCTTGAAGAAGGAAATGTTTTACTACTTGGGGCAATGAAAACAACCAGCGCCACTATCTCAGCCTGCCAGTAGCTGCTGGCCGAGAGCAATCCATGGATTTCAAGACTCCTCAAAATTGTTCTGTTGGCTGCCATCCTTGTTGAAATATTAGGACAGACATGGCCATGTGGCGGTAAGCTGCAGGTTTCCTGCATTCTTCTTTCCTCAGCTGTGTGAAATGAACACAGGACCAATATAAGTGGTTCATACGGGATAAGCAAATGGGCATGAAGTTAGAATACAAAGAAGAGGCAGTAAGGAAGGACATCATCCATGGAGGAGTTTGATGACTCAACTTTGAAATGAGTGAAGTTGAAACCAATTTAATGTCACATAGTGAAGGAGGAACCAAGAGAGTGTGGAAGCTACCCAAAACATGCTTGTCCTATGTGAGAAGTGATTCTTTGCTCTAAAATAGAAGTGATGATTCCAGGAGCCCAGTCTCAATAGGCAGTAGTGAAAGAAATTTTGAATGTTGCTTGATGGTTTTGGACACTTTCCTAAGAAGCAATAACCCCACAGATAGCTGAAGGATGTGTTCAAGCTACCTGGGTACTCCTTAAATAGACATATTTTGGGATCCAGTCTCAAGGACCATATCAGACCTCAAGCACCTTAAGTCCTTGCAAGTGCACTAAAACAAGAGCTACTAAATACCAGCACCCTCTATGAAGAAGAGAGGCTTTGGTTTTTTTTTTTTCAACACCCTCTATGAAGAAGAGAGGCTTTGTTTTTTTTTTTCCTTTTTATTTGCTTTTTAGCCCTGTGAATTTGCCTTTCTGTCTTCATACTGTAGCCCCGTGAATTTGCCTTTCTGTCTTCATACTGACCCAGCTCCAGCAGAAGAAGGTGATGGGACTCCATTCTTCGCCAGGAGCTGAAAGATCACAGCCTGGCTGGTTGATGAGGTCCTAGAATTTACATTTCCTATTTTCTGTGTAAATCCTATCATCAAGAAATGATAGTGTTAAAAGAAGTTTCACCTTCCTGGAAAGTTGCTATAGGCATAAACTTGAAGCTTAGCGTCCTTTAGTGTATGCAAGCAGTTAATGGGATTTACTGCATTCAGGAACTCACTCAGGATTATGTAGCTTATGGTATGTCTTCACCTTGCCCAAGGTACTACATTAAGAAACGCAATATTCCTTAGTGAAACATGAAAGTAAAAGGTACTGCAGGAGTTTACTCACATGGTAGTTCAAATAGATTAACAATTTCCAAAATGTAAGCTGTAAAGGAGTAAAGTGAGGAAGCAAAAGTAGGCAGTGCTGTGTCGCAGAGCCCCCAAAGTGTATTGAAATGTTAAATGACAAGAAAGGAGCAGTCTGAGAGAAATTGTTGCCAAATCACTGCATGGCCAGGACACCTGGACTGGTAAATGACTACACAAAGGACCTCTTTCAAGCTTCTCTGCTGCTGTGTCAGAGAAAAAAAAAATAAAACCCAGAGATCTTGAAATAAGCGTAGAAGCTGCTTTTATAGTGCCCTTGTCTCTTCTGAAAAATAACTAATTTTCAGCTGTACTTTCCTGTGTGGCATAGAGATCTGAATTGAGTTAAGTGATCCTCATCTCACAAAGGAGCCTTTGTGGTATTTGTTGCTGGTGATCTTCCCTCGTTAAACAGGCAAAGGTCTTGCAGCCTTTGCAGATCCGGGATAGGCAACACTATCTGTGAATATTCATTTATGACTTTATGCTCTTGAGTTAATTATGTGTTAAAACCAGATCCTGTACCTTGATGACCTTTTTAGAAAATGCATAGATTTAATCCTGTAAATTTTTTATTTCACTAAATTCAGCAAATCTTTGTCTTTGTTATTTTTTTTTAATTTAATAAGTGCTTTGTTAAGCAAACTCTGGGATGATGACAATACAAAATAGGTTTTTCTAGATTATAAGTGCTTTGTTAAGCAAACTCTGGGATGATGACAATACAAAATAGGTTTTTCTAGATTATTTCAAACTTGCTGGATGCTTTTTTCTTTAAGCTTGACTGAAAAAACAATTTGTGATGGTAGTTGTTGACTGGCATAAATATTATTTTGTCCCGCTTTTCTCAGAAATGCATTATTTCCCTGCTGTTGGGTTTGGATTCCTGATTTATGCAGAGATTGACAAGCATGATGACAGGCACAATAGGATGCTTACCTAATAATAATGTTTATTAACTGTGTCTTAGTCAACAAAGAACAGATGTTGAGATACAAAAGTTTGATTTCAATATTTTTTGTAACCCCTTCTAGCTTCCGTCTGTGTCAGAAAATATTCCTGGCTTTACAAATTATATCAAGATAAATAAAATCCCCATATGCTTAGAGATTTTTCACCTCCCCGCTAAGCAAGCAGAAAAAAAAGAAGATTACATTAAAAAAGCAGCAATAAAAGCAGCAATAAAACCCCCTTTTTGGATAAAATGACACTGAATCAAGACATGTATTTTTGCAAGCTTTGGAATATCATGGAGCTTTTTGGTAGTGAGCACAAAATGGCATCTGGCAAAACACAGTGCCTCCAGATTGTGAGCGTACGTGTGTGTTTTTTCTGCCAGGTGCATAACAGTATGAGTTCTTTCCCCTTTACGGTGGAAAACTTTTGTCTTTCTTTTGTGTACCTAGTCATTTGTAGAACTGTAACTGAAATGAGTCCTAAGATTTTGAAGAAAGTCTTTTTTTGCTATGATGGCAATCTTGAAACTAGAGATTACCATATCTCTAGCATTCTCTCTCATGAGGTAATCAAAGGTTTTTGGTTTTTTTTTTTTGGTTGGTTGGTCTTTTGTTGTTGTTGTTGTTGTTGTTGTAGCAGGCATAAAGCCAGATTACAAAAAGATTAAGCAAAATTTTGAAGGATATTTGTGATGTTAAAAGTTATATGCTAGGACACAAGTCTTGAGAGGTGAAATCCCTGTTCATTTGCAGTCAAGGAGTTAAGTCTCACTGGTCACATATAATTAGTTGTGTATGAAGCAATTGCTAAGTCCTTGGGTGGGCACAACAGCTACTCCAGACTGTGGGTCCTGATGGGTTATTTTGGTATGGGTTCTGGTGTCATAGCCTTTTTCCACAGTTTCAGGATAAAACTGTTATGAAACTTGATTGTGATACAGATTAGCAACACAAAATTATCTCAGTTTACTGAAACACTGTTATGCTTGAAACTGCTTGCTGAAGGGGTGTTGACTGTGAGATAGGTAAAACTTACAGATTTAGGAAGTAGTGGGACTGTTACACATTTTCAGTTGCACAAAATCATATTATCGAAGCATCGGTTGATGCAGTGTAAACTGTTAAA